CCCTTTCCTTTCCTTTCGTTTCGTTTCGTTTCGTTTCCTTTTTTTTTTTTTTTTTTTGGTCTGAGCCCAGGCAGGCAGGGAAACAAAATCCTTTTCAAAACACATCCTTTTCCATGCCAGATCCTATTCTTTGTTATTCCTTCTCCAGAGAGGTTTGCCAGATCAGTTATGTGGTTACATCTGGAAATTAGCAATGGCCTAATTCAGGGGACTATTTTGGCCTTGTGTATATGTGCCTTAAAGTCACTTGTCAGCTTATGGCAACCTACAAATTTCATAAGGTTTTCTTAGGCAAGTATTCTCAGGGGTGGCTTTGCCAGATCCTTCTTCTGAAATATGGCCTGTGTGAAGAAAGTAACTGGCAAATCCACCTCTGAGTATTCTTTGCCTAAGAAAACCCTATGAAATTATGCATAATTATTGCTATCACCTTATTTATTCAACTTTTATGCAGAGAATATCATAAGAGCAGGTTTAGACTCAATAGAAGGAGTGAAAATAGGAGGAAGGAACATCAGCAATCTAAGATATATAGATGACACCATACTATTAGCACAAAACATCACAGATTTTGAACATTTAGTAAGGAAGATAAAAGAAGAAAGTGCAAAGACAGGTTTACTGTTGAACATAAAGAAAACAAAAAATGCAGTTGGCCCTCCATATCCACTGATTTTTTTATGGATGGATTCAATCATCCACAGTTTGAAAATATTCCATAAATATATGAATTTCTAAAAGCAAACCTTAATTTTCTTATTTTATAGAAAGGACACCCTTTTACTATGCCATTGTATTTAAATAGGACTTGAGCATCCACAAATTTTTGTATCCATGGGAGATGACCATGGAACGTATGGACTACTTATGTTCAACCTTGATAATGCAGAAATTGAAATAGTCAAAAAGTTCCCATACCTTGGATCAAACATTGATCAGAGCAGAGATTGCAGTCAAGAAATAAGAAGATGACTAGGAATAGGAAGGGCTGCCATGAAAGAACTAGATAAGATCCTAAAGTGTAAAGATAGACAAATGAACACCAAAGTTAGAATTGTCCAAACCATTGTATTCCCCATCACCATTTATGGATGTGAGAGCTGCACAATGAAAAAAGCAGATTTGAGGAAAATCAATTCATTCAAGATATGGCGCTGGAGAGAAGTGCTGAGGATACCATGGATAGCCAAAAAGATAAACAAATGGATCCAAGAACAGCTCATCAGAACAGCCAAGATGACAAAATGGAAGCTGTCATATTTTGGCCACATCATAAAAACATTAGAAAAGACAGTCATGCAAGGGAAGGTAGAAGATCATAGAAAAAGAGGCAGACTGGACACCAGATGGATAGACTCAGATAGGATGTTCACAGGTCTAAATTTATAGGATATGAGCAGAGCAATTGAGGACAGGGGATCTTGGATATATCTCATCCATAAGATCACCAGGAATCATGATTGGTCCAAGGGCGGTTAACAACAACACTTGCTAGTAAACATCAGCAAACCCAGTGGGGTGTACTTCTGAATAAACTGAGATACGATTGTTCTTCAAGAGTAATTTTACTATTTTAAAATGAAAAGGGTTTTGTTTCTTTAATCAGATTTTTCCCCATCTGGTGTTTTAGACATTTTTATTTCTCCATTTTATTGTTAATTCTGTTGCAAGCTGTTCTGAGGAAAGATGCAACCATATTGGTGAAGCAGAACGCCAATAGGATGGCCAACAATTTGCACATAGCAGTAATTTCCACTAATAGTACTCTTCTGAAAATCCACCTTTGAACCTCCCTGTATCTTGAAGGCCATGCTGAATATGATGATGCAGACATTCAAGGACATATGCACATTGGCTAGCATCCTGCCAGTGACATATAAAGGCATAAGTCCACCTTGTGCTTGCTTATGTATATTATTGGTCATTGAAAAAGCAGGTGTTCTATTCCTCTATCCATAGATCCAAAGCTCCTTGCTCCTGACTCTGTTGTGCTGCAACGGCCCTTTCCCCATGGCCATTTTATTGCTGGTAGAGAGTGATGGGAATCAAAAAAGCATCTGGCTATGTCCCCATGCAAACAAATGGCATCATCTACTGAGACCTGTGGAGGGTATTGGTGGATCTAGGTAGAAGATGTTGTCAGTCTGCCAATACCTAAAAGGTCCTCCAATCCTTCCCCCAGCTCTCCAGCAATGGAATGGCTCTGGGAAGAAGCTATCACAGTGCAAGGGTGAGTTCTAGGGTGGTGACAGGGGAGCCATAAAACTTGGCCATATGTGATCTCAGCCATTGTAGTAAGGAAGCTGGCTTGGCTTGAATCTTCACCACTGAAGGACAGCCTTTAATCCTTTCTCTTTGCACCCTTTCCTTTATCCTAATTCACACCTTACTGCTGTCAATGGTTGGGATGATGGTAGGGTCCTTTGCCAGTGTAAATGTACCAGTGTGGGTAGTGGTGACAGAAGGAGGAAAGCCATGGAGGAACATCCATGAAGGAAGTGTGATAATGGAGAAGTGGACTATTTGGAGCAGGCAGGGTTTCTCTGCCTTCCGCTGTCACTGCTTGTTAGCAAATATGAAATTAATAAAATTTTGGACACATGTTGAGTTCCCTCTATGGCCCCAAACTGACCTCTGTGGGATGTCAGCCATAATCCTCTAAATGGCAAGTCAGGTAGGCATCAGGAGGGCCTGCTCAAACAACTGGAAAATTCCCTACCAGACAGGTTGAGGAGTTGCTAAAGAGAAAAAAAAACATTTTCCAAAAAGGGACACATTGTCGAAAGTCTCACTCTTGATGGGGCGGTGACCAGATTTAACTACACCCTCTTTCTCCAACCTTATTCCTTGATTGAATCAAAACCAAATGCATTGTTTGGACTGGTCTCACACCTAGGTTTAACAAAGCTAAGACAATCAATGCCTTTGTCCAGGCTTCAGCCAAGCCATCAAGTCTATAGCTAGAAGCAAGATATGACCTATATAAACATTTAGATGTTTAGACTCCATGTGCTATCTTTGGAGTGCAGCTTAGCTCCACATCAGTCTGCCCTCTGATCATAGCTCCCTCGGCCATCCTTTCCCCCATTTCGATGGCCATGCATCATCATCATCATCCATATCCACAGCAGATACCGAAGAAGCCTTCAGAAGTGAGTATCTCCCTTAGTCTGGCCCATCTCAAGTTATTCTCACTTTCACCCCTTTAGTTCTAAGTGTGCAGTGTGTGTGTGCCATGTTTGTGTGTGTGTAGTTTTCCCCTGCTAATGAATAATAAATATTTAGACTTTAATTGGAGAAGCCTGCCTCAGAGTCATCCATTGTGGGATCTTTTAGTCCTCTGGTATACATATTGGTACTCTGGTCTCATGGGGTGTTGTTAGGGCCCCACTCTTGCATATTTGAGCTAATTATAAATTCCCCTAATTAGATCCTTCCTAACATGCTGTACAGCTCTGGAAAACTGCAACTTCTAGCACAGTGTGCCAAGAAGATTCCAGCATATTTCTCCTACTGAAGCAAAGAACAATTTCACAGAGGAAAGGAGATGGAGAGAGAGAGAGAGAGAGAGAGAGAGAGAGAAAGGTCCAGGGGGGGGGAAGTTAAGTCCTCCTCTGCCTTCCCTCACCCACTTCCTCCATCAGGTTTTGGCTCCCCACACACACACACACACACACTGCTACTCATCTATTTTTAATATGAATGGATCTTCCCACATCATGTCTAATTTCACCCTGAAACATCCATTAGAAAAAACATCAGAGCTGACAGCTTTTCTAGACCATAGCATGCTCTGGATTGTTTCAAAGCTGGATCTGATCATTTTCACGAAGTGTTGGCACTTCATAGCTTCCATGTTGGCATTTCATAGCTTCCTGCCCTATCATATGGGATAGTTGTTATTGAAGGAACAGTGTGTTGGCAGTAGAGGTCTTGTGTCTATGTGGTGATTTGATTAACTGCATATAAACAGTTTCCACACACACACACTTTCTTCCTCTGTTTTTCTCTCTTTCACACATACTTTTTTATTACAAATATAATTTGGTCCAGTAAAATCACAACTAATCCAGGCAAATCTGAAAGCAGGCAGGAGCCACCCCTACATGTAAACAGCTGCCTGTTTGCTAATGATTGATTTGATAATCATAGTGATTTCAAACCTCCCTTACACTCCTGCTATGAGAAGTCTCCCCATGTGCTGTTCTTGCTGTGAGGAGAGGAAATGCAGTCAAGTGCACAGCATGACACTTCAATAAACCCTGCTGGTCTATTTGTCCATCTGCCATTCAGGGAGGGTGGCTTGTGGAGTTTGGTGGAAGCCTTGACAGGTAGAAAACAAATAGTAAGGAGAACTATGCAACTGGAGCCAGGACTTTGCTGAGCTCCCACAACTGGGTCAATGCACAGGTTCAGTCCTGGATTCCAAAAAGTAGTTCCAGAGACTAGAAATCTCTGAGCATGGGCAGAACATGTTTCCCTCACTACTGAGCAAACACTTGCTAATCTCCATATACTGGGGACAGAGTTTGGAAATGTTACCTTTTGGATTAAAGTTGCCAGAATCCTCAGCCAACCTGGCTGGTGATTCTGGGAGTCATAGTCCAAAAGGTACTGTTTCCAATCTCTGCTAGGATTACTGAGTAAGGAACCTGGGCAAGAGAGAGTAGTGATCAGAACTAAAGGAATGCCAGTTCATCTCTCTGTACAAATGTACTAATTGTCATGAAGGAAACAGTGGCAAATTTAGCAAGGGAGAAGTATGTTTAATTTGCCACTCACAATGAATTCTTTATTTGGGATCTTTGTTATTTTTAAATAGATTTCCTTTTATAGGGAACTCTGCAGCTCCATACTATTTTGTGGCTTTCTGTCCCTGCACCAAAGAAATCTACTTGTTGCTGGTGAATCAGAGGTTTCAGTGAGATTTCAAAATACTGCTTGTCTATCTTCAATAAGACCTGCAAAGTAAATGCATGCAAGTATCTTTCACTATAAGAGGCAAGCATGGTGCAATGGTTTGAACGTTGGACTAGGACATTAGGAGACCAGGGTTCGAATCCCAAGTGGGCCACGGACACACTCTCAGCCTCAGAGGATGGCAATGGCAAACCCCCTCTGAAGAAACTTGCAAAAAACCTACAATAGGTTCACCTTAGGGTCATCATAAGTCAAAAATCACTTGAAGGCACACAACAACAAGTTTTTACTATGACACCTCTAAGTAAAGTTCCATCATCATATCTTGTTGACAATCCAGGGAAAAGTCTGCAAAGGGCCGTAGTTACTACTACTGAACATGGATTCATTTCCTTGTTTTAAAGGGAGAAAAATATAGTTCAGTTTGCAGACAATAAGGAACAGGTGTGTATGGGTGCAAAGTTTGATCTAGATTTTATTGGCTATGTTGATAAGGAACAGATTTAACAGATAGAAAGGAATTTCCATGTCTCCAGGAGAACACACACAGGTTTTGGTTGGTTCCAAAAGTCAAGATAGTTATCGTTTCCAAAGGGATAGCCTTATTGGCCACCTGCAGCACCTTTCAAGGCCTTTGACATTTTAAGGCTAATAAATTTATTATAGCATAGCATAAGCTTTCACAGACTACAGCATACTTGATCAATGTATGAAATACAAACCAGATTTTCAGGTATATATACAGTACTTGTGGGTACTGTGTAGTAGGCAGTGGCAGCAAAAAGGAACTGAATAGAGAATAATAATAATAATAATAATAATAATAATAATAATAATAATAATACATTTATTTATAGCCCGCCCCTCTACAGATGCAATTGGAATGGCTTACAATAGTAAAACATCACAAATTTACAGTCTCAAAACCCACCCACCCCTTAAAACAATATTAAACATCATAGGATTAAAACAGCAACAAACAACAGACAATTAGATAACTAACAAGGATCATAGTAGCAAAGCAGACACCCAGCAGCAGTGTGGCAGGGAATAGGGGAAGGGGTGAGCTCGCTCCTTAAGCCGGGACGACTAATCAGGAAAAGCCTGCTGGAAGAGATCCATCTTCACAGCTTTTTTAAAACTGTTTAGATTGGTAATATGATGGTTCTGGTCTGGCAGGCCATTCCATAATCTGGAAGTGGTTGATGAAAAGGTCCTCTGGAAGGTTGCAGACAGCCTAGTTTTAATAGGCTGAAGCAAATTCCTCCCAGAGGACCAGAGTGCATGGAGTTAGGGTTAGAGTTAGGGGTTAGGAACTCCTTATATGAAAGGAGGCGGTCCTGAAGATAGTTTGGACCCAAGCCATGTAAGGCTTTAAAGGTGATGACCAACACCTTGTACTGAGCCCAGAAACTAATCGGCAGCCAGTGTAGTGATTTTAGGACCGGTGTTATATGGTCTCTCCTAGATGTACCAGAGACCAGGCTGACTGCCATGTTCTGTACTAGTTGAAGTTTCTGGGCTACGCATGAGGGTAGCCCCACGTAGAGCGCATTACAGAAATCAAGATGAGAGGTTACCAGCACGTGCACCACAGTTTCAAGATCCCTTACTTCCAGGAAAGGGCGCAGCTGGCGTATCAGCCAAATCTGATAGCAGGCGCTCCTGACTGTTGCATTTACCTGATTAGTCATCTGGAGCAACGGATCCAGGAGCACCCCCAGACTGTGAACACAGTCCTTAACAGAGAGTGTGACCTCATCCAGGACTGGAGGTTGTATCCCAATACCTAATTTTGGGGCTGCTACTGTTAGTACCTCCATTTTGTCTGGATTCAATCTCAATCTGTTTTTCCTCATCCAGCCATTACTGTCTTAAGACAATCATTAAGGGAAGAGATGCCATCTGAAGTCATAGCCAATGACTGAGACATGGAGAAATATATTTGGGTGGCATCAGCGTACTAATAACACCCCGCCCCATGACTCCGAATGATCTCTCCCAGTGGCTTCATATATATATATTGAACAGGAGGGCTTTAAACTGAGTCATGTTGGGGAGGGAGACCGTATCTTGGAAGGTATCTTGGAAGGCAGGAGTACATCATGGGCTGGAGATGATAGTCAAAGTGTTATAGAGGGAACAAGGCAAATGATGCAAGGGCACAACTGTGGAAGGAAAAAAATCTCACACAGGGAGCAAGTGGGAAGGACAAATGATCTTAGATATCTCTGCACTAATGCACAGAGCATGGGAAATAAACAAGATGGACTTGAACTCCTGGCACAACAAAGCAAATATGATATAATAGGCATTACTGAAACCTGGAGGGATGAGTCTAATGATTGGAATGTAGGAATAGAGGGGTATAACCTTTTAAAGAAAAATAGGCCAAACAGGAAAGAAGGAGGAATAGCATTATATGTCAGGGATATTTACACCTGTGAAGAGATCCAGGACTTAAATCCTGGAAATCAGGTGGAGAGCATCTGGATAAAAATTAAAGGGGAAGGAACAACAGGGATGTTATAGTAGGAGTCTACTACAGACCCTCAAGTCAGACTGAAGAATTTGGAAGATGCCTTTCTAGAACAGATGAGTACACACTCAGGAAGGAGAGATGTAGTAGTGATGGGTGACTTCATCTATCCTGATATTTGCTGGAAGTCAAACTCAGCCAATACTCCAAGGTCTAGCAAATTCCTCATTTGCCTCGAAGACAATTTCTTAGTCCAAAAGGTGGATGAGGCAACAAGTGGATCAGCTATTTTAGATATGATCCTAACCAACAGGGATGACCTGGTCAATGGGGTGCAAGCAGTGAGATCCTTAGGTGGGAGTGATCATGTTCTCCTGGAGTTTCTTATACAGTAGAAAGGAGAAGCTAGGCATAGTCAGACACTCATTTTAGATATTAGGAGAGCTGATTTCTATAAACTTAGGGAAACACTGGGAGTGATCCTGTGGTCAGGAGTACTAAAGGAGAAGGGAGTTCAGGATGGATGGGAGTTTCTCAAAAGGGAGATACTGAAGACACAATCTCAAAATGTTCCAATGAGAAGGGAAAATGGGAGATGTCGCAAGAAACTGGGTTGTTTGACAAAAGAACTTACAACAGAAATAAGTTTTAAAGGGGAGATATATAAGAAATGGAAAAGGGGCAAAGTCACTGAAGAGGAATTCAAACAAATAGCTAGCACATGTAGGGGTAAGGTCAGGAAAGCCAAAGCACAGAATGAGCTCAGGCTTGCTGGAGGGGTAAAGGACAATAAAAAGGGCTTTTTTGGGTATGTCCATAGCAAAAGAAAGAAGAAGGAAATGGTAGGGCCACTGCGCAGAAAAGACGGAGAAATTCTAACAGGGGACAGAGAAAAGACAGAACTACTCAACACCTTCTTTGCCTCAGTCTTCTCACAAAAGGAAAAGGGTGTTCAACCTGAGGAACATAGAGCAGAGGATACAATAGGTGAAATGCAGCACAAAATAAGTAAAGAGGAAGTACAGGAATACCTGGTTAACCTAAATGAATTTAAGTCTCCAGAACCAGATGAACTACATCCAAGGATATTAAAGAACTGGCAAATGTAATCTCAGAGCCACTGGCAATAATCTTTGAGAACTCCTGGAGAACAGGAGAAGTCCCAGCAGACTGGAGGAGGACAAACATTGTCCCCATCTTCAAAAAAGGGGAAAAAGAGGATCCCAACAACTGTCACCCAGTTAGTCTGACATCAATACTGGGAAAGATTCTAAAACAGTTCATTTAAACAGAGAGTCTGTGAACATTTAGAAGGGAATGCCAAAAAGTCAACATGGGTTTCTCAAAAACAAGTCATGCTAGACTAATCTGATCTCTTTTTATATATATATATAAAATTGCCAGCCTGCTAGATGAAGGGAATGTGGTAGACATAGCATGTCTTGATTTCAGCAAGGCTTTTAACAAGGTCCCCCATGATATTCTTATCTCAAACAAGAAAGTAAAATGTGGGCTAGACAATACAACTGTTAGATGGATTAGTAACTG